TATATCTGTTCTCAACCACTACTTTTATATTCTTCATATACTCCTAATAGTGCTTCAAAAAGAACTAAAGAGTTTTGTTGTATTTCGCTAATGTGTGATTTGTTATATATTTCCACTTATTTTAGTGAAATAGAAGCCTATACTTTTACACCTTTATATGAGCCTGAACAAATTTAGCACACCTGAGTTACATTTGGGTCATTCTACTCTCACAAACTATAATTAAAATTCAGGCCAGTATTTTAAGGAAATATAATCACTTTGAATATGGGCATCTCCTTTGGAGATTCCCTTTGAAATAGAGTGTACTAAGTAGGATAACTGTGTCACCGGTAAGATACCCTTCTACCAAACTTATTTTTTCAGTATTTTTTATTGAAAATAGATTCATTCTCATACAGTATATTCTGGTTATTGTTTTCCCTCCTCTACTCCTCCCTTTTCTTCCCCACTTCTCCTCCCCTCTGGATCTTCTTTCTTTCTGTCTCTCATTAGAAAAGAACAGGCTTCTAAGATACACCTTCCAAGCATGACAAAATATAATAATAAGAAGAAAAGCTATCATACCAAAGTTGGACACAGCAACCCAACTTGAGGAAGAGTACAAAGTTCAGACACAAGAGTCTGAGACCTGCTAATTTTCACAGTCAGGAGTCCCATAAAAATGCTAAGTAAATAGCTATAATACATATGCAGAGGATCTGGAATAGACTCATGAAGGCCCTTGATTGCTGCGTCAGTCTCTCTGAGCTGACATGTACCTTGCTTAGTTGATTCCAAAAGCCATGTTCCTCTGGTATCCTCCATCCCATATGGCTCTTACATTCTTTCTACTTCCCCATCCATGGAATTCCCTGAGCCTCGAAAGGAGGGTTTTGATAGAAACCTCCAAATTAGATCCTCTCTCTGTGCCATATTTGTATCTGGGTCTCTGTATCCATTTTCATTGCTGCTGAAGGAAATCTCTCTGATGATGAATGTATAAGGCACTGATCTATGACCATGCCAGAATATCATTAGGAATCATTTTATTGATCTTTATTTTTAGATCAGTAGTGTTGGTTTTATCCTAAGTCTGTGCTATCTTCTCTTTATTTCTTGGTTACACAAGCAGTGTTAGGTACAGGTTCTGGCTCACGGAGTGGACATAATTAAATTTGAACTAATCAAATCAGACCTTCATTGGCTACTTTCACAATTGCTTTAGCACATTACGCAGTCAGGACAGATTGTATGTCAAAGGTTTTGTAGATGAGTTGGTGTTCATGTTTCTCTATTGGTAACCTGCAGAGTGTCTTCCCAAACCAAACAATGCCTGATGATGCTGCATGCTAAGGTAATGGGATGTGTGAGAAGGAAGGTTAGAGTAGGTCTTTGTGATTCTATGGGAATAGCTTCAGCCAGGAAAGGGCAGCCACAGCAATTTTCCTTTTACAGACTTTAGGTTGAGATTGGAGTAATCCGATCTCAGGAGGAGAGTTGTGGGTCTACCTTCTCCCTAATTATTGCTATGGGAGGTACAAACTTTGATTTAGCAGGGAATGCCTTTTGGGTTTGGAGGATGGAATAGAGCAAAGAGTTGGGGAAGGAAAGTTAGAAGGGGGTGGTCTGTTGTATATACATACGTGGGCAGGAGAGAGAGACAGTTGCAGCTGAGTTCTGTTGAGTACTAGGTATGATACTGGGGGATTACGTGAGTGGGAATAGAGAAAATAAGAAAGAAAGTCTGTAAGCAACCTATGTGTTTTCAAGGCAGGCGGGCATAACCTGTGGCTACCAAACTTTTAATTGACTTAGAATTGAGAAACAGAAAAGATATTTTTACAAGTAATAATATGAATTCGGTCAGAGAGAGGAGTTAGTAAATTGCAAACAAAAGATGCCTGGAAAAAGTTTGCTTCGAAGCTTCTGAGCAAAAGACCAGCACGGACTGAACCAAGTTTCTTCTTCCCATCAGTTTTTGTCAGGGTTGAAGTTACCTTGCTGATTCATTAACAAACTTCTCTTCATTATTCGTATTCCAAATGTGGATTCCTGAAAGACAAGTCCCACATGATATGTACATAATAAATGAACTGACAAGATATCCCTAATTTGATGTGATATGACATTTTCCAAATGAGAAAACTCCTTCAGAAAGACATCTTGAGATTGCAAGGCAAAGCTGAGCCATGAGGAGTTGAAGAGGAAGGTCCCAGCGACGCAGTCTTCCCTCCTGCTCAGGAACAGCAGGAAATGGCAGTGCAGGCCTCTGAGAAGAAGTCTGACTGCTTGCTACACAGGCTATTAAATTGATTTTGGAAGCCATATATCCTAAGGGTATTTAGGATTAGTTGATCTCCACATGAGTTTTCTCTCTATTGGGAAAACTAAATTCTTTGACTTCAAGAATTTTTACGCTGCAAGAGTTAGGGAACTGGAATCTTACTATTTAAAGCTAGAAACCTTAAAGGGAGATGTTAGAGGGACATTGTCCTCATGTCTGCCCTTGAAGGTCCTGATGCAGATGTACTGACATACATCAATACCTAGTGGTAAATAATCCTAAAATTTTCTCCCTTTTTCTTTTTTTTGTGGGTCAGTAAGTGAATATTAAAATAGTGATTAAAATTAGTTTCTTGTATAGCACAAAAGTATTAAATACAGTAAATACTGGCATTTCTGTTATCCAATTTTACAACTTAAATTTTATTATAAAAATGATTATTGATTTTTCTCTTTTGGTGGTGAATTCACATTTGCTCAAACAGTTACACATCTCTTCTGACCCAGCAGCCTCTGGGAAAGAGAAGAAAAAATGTTGAACTTTCAGAATCAACTTCAAATGGTTCATTGACTTTGTTTCACCACGGGGAAAAAAAAATCACTTAACCTCCCAGTGTCAGTTTACCCATCTGTGAAATGAGAAGGCTAATATTTTCTTGTGGGGATGTTCTGAAAATTATTTTGCAAATGTAGTAGATAAAATTGTAGCAAGCATCACTGCCTTTTCTCCTGAATACTTTGAAGAGGCCGACAGTGTTATTTATGCATTTGTTGATAGTCAGAATATCATCTGGGTGAAACATGTATATTTATCAGCAGTTGTGAGCTTTATGATATTGAAGGAACACTTCTCCCTGGATTGTTCAATTTATGTATGACATTAACAGCAGGGAACCTACGGGAAAAAATGTAAACCTTTACTGAGCTCCATGTTAAGGAGGTGATAATTTCAGGCAAGTAGTCCCACTCTGGATATGATTTCACGTTTGTGTGAGTGTGCTTTCGTTTTTGCCCCACCTCATTTTAGACGTTTGATAGCTCTCTGAACTCCTTGCCAATGGTCATCTCTGAGATGAAGGCAAGGCACACCACATTAGGGTTCCTGTTGACTTTCATGTAAACCATCAAAGAATATATTATATAAAACTCAGATGTCAATTTTAAAATCCATCTTAAAGATTAAAGGGAGGTGTCCTGGGGAGTCGTCATGGTGACTTGAAGGGGCTGGCATTAAGAAGGGAAAGCTCCTGATAAAAGATTTTAATACTCGAAAGTCTTAATTATGTAATGTGGTCATGAACCTCTTTTCTTGTGTCATTTAAGGCTGGAAAGAAATGTTTCCCTTCAGGCCCTTCTGTGTCTTCTGGTGCCAATCAGTAGGCTTCTTGGTAATAAACTTCTTTATGCCGATGGCTCCCATGCAACCTCAAGTGGTGCTTGGAGTAATGACAGAATCATTACAAACTAAAGAAGTAAAGGGAAATATATTTCATGGGTATGATTAAGCCATACTAATGCCCTTGAATATGTAAATTATTTTTGACTTAACGAGCTAACCTGCTCATGTAATAGTATTTTAACCTGGCACTAGTAAGTCATTTTTACCTCTGCTAATGTTTGTTATCAGACCTGCCAGAGTTTATTTTCAGAACATTACTCAAAGATAAAATATATTTATTATGTTTGTGCATGTAGAGATAAAATGTATATATTATGTGTGTGCATAGATTAACCTTGTTTAAATTATTAGAAGTGTATTTTTAACTAAATTTATCACATAGATTACATTAATAATGCAAATGATGCATATAAAGATAAAAAACATGGTTATATCTGACACTCTCCAAATTGATGATTCATTTAAGAATTTTGAAGATGTATTTCTCTGATTATATACAATTGTAGAAACATGAGCAAGACAGTTATAAGTATTTGCTGAGTAACCACCAAATACACATATACACACAGGTGAGGTGTGTAGAGATATTGATGTTGTTGAAAAGAAAGTATTTTGCTGGTGCTCTTCAGGCAAACCTCAAACTCCTGGAATGCAGGGGTTTCTTCAGCTTCCTAAATCTTTAAGACTCCAGTGCATGCCACCAGACCAGGCTTTTGAAATTTATTTCAATTAATATTCTATAGGATGGATAATGGATATTCTTTATAGAATTGTTACATAGTTTTGCCAATATTCTGCATTTCAGAAAACATAAAACAGTTCTATAAGAATTCTGAGTGAAGTGGGATTAATTTTTCATTTACTTTATCATAAATTCACTCTGTTCTAGTTTTTATATATTATGTGTTTTTTTTTTCCGAAATTATAAAAAGCTACCATGGAAGTGTTTTGTGTGTTTCCTATGCTCCTGCTGAGACTTTAATTCATGGAGCATCATTGTCTGACTTACCTTCAGTGATGGCTCCCTCTAACACCACATAATTAATTTTAGGCCAAGGGAAAATAAAGGTTCTTGTCTTACTATTGGAATATGTCTTCATGTGTGCCTAAGAAAGGTACATATTCTGAGAATTAAAAGGAAATACAAAGGAGCCTTAATGGTCCACCACTAGGGTGGTCTTAAGAATTTTAAATGTCTTTTCCATCTTTTTTAAATTTGTAATATTATTGGTTTAAATCTTATTTTGAGTAAGACCTGATGTTCAGTGTAGATCTTGGGAAGTTTATCATTTTATAAACTTTCATTTAATCAGCATTCTCTTTAATCTCCTTTTAGGCAGCCAAGGGCAGTTTCCACTAACTCAGAATGTAACGGTTGTTGAAGGCGGAACTGCAATTTTGACCTGCAGAGTTGATCAAAATGATAACACCTCCCTCCAGTGGTCAAATCCAGCTCAACAGACTCTGTACTTCGATGACAAGAAAGGTGAATACATTTTCTCAGAAATGTTTTAAACATGTTCTGAAATACCCTAATTATAATGAATTTATTTTCCTAAGATGATTCAAATTATTCCTTTTGATTACTAAACTGCTGCTGCTTGTACTTAAACATGATAAATATTAAATACTTTAGTTTGCAAGTCATAAACACCAAAGATAACCTGTGTCAACTTTCTAATAAAATAAACAGCTTCAATTCTATTGGAAAGTGCTTTTCCTCTTTTCCTGCTCAATCCTTGCAGCCATCTTCTCATTATACCCTTCAATTTGGGAGCTCTCTCATCTACATAGTGAATTCTTTTCTCCTACTGGGTAATATACTGCTATTTTTATGATCCTAATTTTATGTGCTAACAGTATGCTTTCATTTGAGGAAGTTTTATTTTATAGATTTCGTCTCATCAATTGAAAGAGCAAGGAAAAACTATGAAAACAACTTATCTATTGAGCATAAATATGTGTATTTAACAAACTGAAATTCATTAAGAACCTGTATTTTTGTGTGACTAAGATTAAGGTATATTTGGACTCCTTGACTAATTAAGGAATCTAATTAGATAAAACATAGATTATGGTTTAAATGCTTAGTGGTGAAGAAGTCCATACTCTACCGCACAAGCAAACATCTAATAATACATGTCAAATTGTTAATGCTTCATTCACTATTGTGAATAAAACAGTGAGTTCAAGAAATGTAATAATATGGAAGTGAAATAAAACATGGAAATATTTATAAGTAAATTTGCATTATAAAACAGAAAATATGATTTAGGTAGTACATATTTAAAATATTTTTGCATTTGATATGCTTAAATTTTTTTAGATAACAATAAAACAACCTAAAATCAACTTAATTTTTAATATTAAAATTTTGACCACCAATTTATATATCGGTGGCCTTTTTCCCTCTTTAATGTTATCAACTGAAAATGTATTCTGCAAGTTTTTAGATATATAATGAAACACTGGTTTTATATATATAATCAATTAAGTTCAAACACAATGAAGGTCTCTGCATAACATTGGTTAGAGAACAGACAAATGAAAGTCTCTACCCTCATGCACAGTCAGTAGATAGATGACAAATATAGGAAGAGAACATGTACCGTGAAAAACCATGAATATGGACCAGGGATTTTTAGTTAAGATTCTTTGAAAAGGAGCTGGGAAAAATGACTCACTGTGTATTGCTCTTCAAAAAAATCCCAATCTGAGAATCTCCAGAGAAAGAGAAATAATAGTGTAGATGAACGGATATTTTGAATTTTGTTTTGAGAAACTAGCTCATGTGGTTGTGGAGGAAGTCAGGTTTAAAATATTTATAGGCTGGCTAGGTAGCTAGATACCCAAGGGATTGTTCCTCTCACAGCCTATACCTAAAAGTAGAACTGCCTCCCCAACAGGGGTCCTCAGAATTTTTCCCAAGGCCTTCAACTGACTGAATGGGCCCACTGTATTCTATATTAATAAAACATTTAAATATTGCAATACTGGCTCTTAGAGATTAACTTTACAGCAACACATATACTGATATTTTACCAAACATTGGAGGACAGTAATTTCCTCTTTCTGTGAGGTATGCTTTGCACGACAAAAAGCAAATGGTCCTAGCTGTGAATAGTGAGGAATGCTGCATCCACTATTCCCTTGACAATAACAGTTTTGTTTTCTGAAATTTCAGTTATAGGAATTCTTTGCTTGCGTAGTACGTCTTTATACGGTTGTTTTACAATCATACTTTGTATTTCATAGTTCTGAACATATGTACATATTAGGACAAAGATAAAATATATTAAGGTAGCATTATTTCTTTATTCGTTTCCTGTATTAAACACTATTGCCTAGAAGTACATTTTGTACATGTGTATTATATGTTGTATGATTACTCTTGTGTGTGTGTGTGAGAGAGAGAGAGAGATAGAGAGAGAGATCACACTCACACATATGTGTACATGCATCTTCAAGCATGTTTAAAGTCCACAGGAAAATTTCAAGTGTCTTTCTGAGACGCACTGTCATCTTATTTTGAAACAGAGCTTCTCAGTGACTTAGAACTCACTGGACACATACTTATCTGTTTTCTAGTACCAGGATTAGAAGAAGGGCACCACCACAACAGGTTTTTTAGATGGTTCCTAGGGATCAAACTCAAGTCATTAAGCTAGCAAGGGAAGCTACTTTATCAACTTCACCATTTCTCAGACAGTAATTTTTGAATGTATAAAATACTATCAAAGAGAAATTTGTCAGAATCAACAACTGTGGCTTTCTGTGCTGTTATAGGGTACAGAAAACAAAAAGAGGAAGAAAGGGACGGTTACAACAGAAAAAGGGGCAAAAAGGATGGGAAGGGGAGGAGGTGGGAGGAAATGGAAGAGTGGGGAAAGGAAGAAACAAAGATAGAGGGCCAGTTGGAGGGAAGAGGGGTTAATTATTGAAGAGAATAGACCAAGCATACTGGTAATATTACTGATGAGAGGCATTCTGAATACTTAGTTAAGCTACTTAGAAAGGGAAATTTTTATGTCCTTGATTGGGCTGAATGAAGAACTCAGGGTGGTGGTCAATTCTCCTCATCATTGGAGAAGCCTTGCTTCCTTAGAATTATGAAATATAAGAAAGTATGTCTGATACTAGGCATGTTATAACCAGCTAAAAGTGTTAAGCAGGAATCTGTCAAATGTGTGGGTCCAGGATCATCTTTATGAAGTCACCTGTGGAAATTGAGGGCATTAGTTAACATGATACTTACTTGGCCATATTTCTTATCAAAGTTCAATGAAAATTATGATCATTCCTACATTTTGGCATGTTGATTATAATAAGTACTTTCCACAGATACTAAGGGAAATGAGACATCCACAAGCCAAGCAGAGTTGTTCCCAAACCTACAGCTGAGAAAAGCTGTGAAGGGATTTGAGTCTTGACCTTTTACCTTGGTTCTAACAGGAACTTCCTAGACTCGAGGACTTGGAGATGAAAACTTTAGGTCTTGTCTCCCATCTGTTTCTCTTTGATTGTTGCAAACAAAGCTTTGTACATCCTGTTTGGATCTCAATGCCCAGAAGGACCAAGCATGACCTTAGACTCCTTGACCTCCTCTGTCCTCCTCCTCCTGGTGCTAGGATTGCAAATAGATATCATTGGGTCAAACATTCTGTCACTGTATTTTTGCCACCTACTTCTTCCTTGAAGTGCAAATATTCTTTTAACACTGATAAAATGCACATAGAGTGAGGTTTTGCAACAAATGCTAAAATGAGCAATTACACAATAAGGAAAATATCTTCTGCCTAGGCTGAACAATTCAGAAGCTACATGACAATATCAGTACTTAGACTCTTTTTAAATAAATAGATACTTATTATTCTACTGTTTAAGAACACTGGTCATATATAAAATGCTGCTACACAGCTGACAGTTATTCCTTGGAAGTATTTTCCTGGAAGTCTATTTGTTCTCTACCTTGCATAACCACCTTGCTGGATTATAGACAGGTAGTAGAATAAGAAATTGGCAAGCAAGAATCTTATGGCTGTCACAACACAGATATCAAATATTAAAAAAAAATTAAAAAATGGTTTAAATCATAAGCTTAGAATCAGATATGCCCTTTGACACTGCTGTAGACTAATAGGAGGTGATGATGGACACCTCTCCAAAGGTGATCAGATGTCAGATTGAAAGTGTTGTTTTAACAGGTTCCTAACTGCTTTGCACATACCCAAAGATAAGGCATTAAACTTTAAGGAAGAAACTCAATTATAACCCAACTCCTTTCTGAAAAGCTTATGGAGAAGTCATTATCCTTCATGCATAAGAACTCTGAAGATAAAAATGAAAAATCAAATCAGGAAGACCATGCCAGGATCCACAAGGTGTACAGAAAACTTTGTCACATGTGGCTCAGAGAGTGGTCACTTGTTAGGACTCTCTTCCTTCATTTATTTCAGAACTCACCTCCACTGTTCTAAATGGTTGATAAGAAGGCAGAATTGTTCAGATATGTAAAGACTGAGAAAAATGTGTGACAGAGGTTACTTTTACTCCACAGGAATGTTCTTTGGTATTGGGCATTAGAAATTTAAAAAAAAATCAATTAGATCATAGTGTCCGTTTCTCAACAGGCAACATATAAAACAATTGAAGTAGCAAAAGCTGATCACTAAATTCTCAGAAAAGAACCCTTCAATTTGTTCCTATTGACAAATACTTTAGCAAACATCTCTAGGAGTACATAGTGTGCACATCCCACAGTTACAACTCTGTGTGCTTAGATTTGTCTTCATATGAAAATGCAAGCTATATTACTCTGATATTTTACTTTACCAGATTTTTGATAAAGAAATGTCTTTGCTTGCTCTATAAGCATATAGATTGGTGTCTAGAGCCCCATCACTCCTCTTAAATGCTGGGCAGGTATGGTAGATTCCTTTATTCCCAGCGTTAGGGAGGCAGACATAGGGGATCTCTTGGCAAAGCAGCCAAATTGACACGCTCAGGACTCATGAAGAGACTATGTTTTAGTAAATAAAGTGCAATGATGTAGGAAGACACTAAACACAGCGTCTTTCTTTCATACCCACGCATAGAAAGTAGTCCCTATACATGCATAGACATGTGCATATAGGGGCATGCACACTTTCTACATATACACATGCAAGAATATGGTCGAAAATATTCACATCATTCCTAAAGGAGCGAAAATAAAATTCTCCCCCAAAACACCAAGTCACTGTGTTAATTAACCAATTATTCTGCTGATGATTTTACATTCATATTGAGAACAATGAGAAAGGAAGAACATGAATAAAGTTCCCTAAAACAAGAATGATAAGGAGAAGAAAAATGAGGTGAATTTTAAATGAAGGTAAGCTTCTCATGGCTTCATACCAGTCAGTGACACTTCACAGTGTCTATCTGTGCACCTGGTATCAATCAATGTGACAAGCTTTAAAATATTAAAGATGAGCGGAAAGCAAA